TACCACACCCGGCTGATTTTTTGATTTATAGTAGAGATGAGGTCTCGCTGCCCAGGCGGGCCTCGGACCCGCGGGCTCAGGCAATCCACTCACCTCAGCCTCCCAAAGGCGCGGGATGACAGGCTGAGCCACCGAGCCCGGCTGCAGCATTACTTCTAACATTCCCAAGCTGGAAACTACCAAGTGTTCATCCACAGGCGAGCAAATAAACCATCTGAGGTGCCCCCACATGATGGAGAACCACACAGCAGTAAAGAGGAGCAAACACTGGGCATGGTGGCTCACAACTGTCATTCCAGCCCTTTGGAAGGCGGAGGCAAGAGGATTGTCCAGGGGTCTGAGACCAGCTTAGCAATATGGCGAGACCTCATCTCTACAATGAATAAAAAAATTAGCTAGGCGTGGTGGCACAGGCCTGTGGTTCTAGCTACTTGGAAGGCTGAGGTGGAAGGATCGCCTGAGCCCAACAGGTCGAGGCTGCGGTGGCCATGAGCGTGCCCCTGCACTCCAGTCTGGGCGACAAAGTGAGACTTCAATTTAAAAAAAAAAAGGCAGGGCTCAGTGGCTCAGCCTGTAATCCCGCGCCTTTGGGAGGCTGAGGTGAGTGGATTGACTGAGCCCGCGGGTTCGAGACCCGCCTGGGCGGCGAGACCTCATCTCTACAATAAATCAAAAAATGAGCCGGGCGTGGTAGCGCGTGCCTGTAATTCCAGCTACTCGGAAGGCTGAGGCGGAAGGATCGCTGGAGCCCAGCAGGTCGAGGCTGCGGTGGCCGGGAGCGGCCACTGCACTCCAGTCTGGGCGACAGAGTGAGACTCCAACTCAAAAAAAAAAGAAGTAAAACATGTGTCACAGCAGAGGCTGTGCATGTGCCACTGAGCTCTCAGGGTGAGAGTGAGACTCCGACTCAAAAATAAAAACAGAAAAAGCCACAGAGACCACTGGCCACAAAGTCTGCAATACTCACTGTCTGGCCCTTCAGAGTTTGCCACCCCTTGGCTTAAAACCCACAGCAACCACTAAAAAGCATGAGCTGCACTGAGCAGACAGCAGCAGTGATTACTAAATGGATTCATGCAAGAGAAGACAGAGAAAAGGGACAAAGAATAGTTGGGACAGATGCCTGCCCAGCCACATTGATCATCACATAAAACGCAAGCGGGGGCCGGGCTCGGTGGCTCAGCCTGTAATCCCAGCACTTTGGGAGGCCGAGGTGAGTGGATTGCCTGAGTCTGCGGGTCGAGACCCGCCTGGGCAACTTGATGAAACCTCATCTCTATACAACAAATCAAAAAATCAGCCGGGTGTGGTAGTGCGCGCCTGTAGTTCCAGCTACTTGGAAGGCTGAGGCGGAAGGATCGCCGGAGCCCAGCAGGTCAAGGCTGCGGTGGCCGGAAACGGCCACTGCACTCCCAGTCTGG